TGTAATGGCAGTAAGACGAGAGAGAGCGCTCAAAACTCAACAGATGATTGCATAATTTAGTGGAACATTAATATAGTAATATAGAATCATCCTCTGTAAAGAAATGAGGAGCGAACATTTGAGAATTTATCATTATCTTTCTAAATGTGCGCTCTTTGGGGCTAAAGGCTTAATGGAGCTGTTTAAAATATCCATGTGATAACAAACCAATCGGTGCAGACGCGATTCAATACGTGTGTCCTTCTTCTATGTGAAATAATCATAAATACCAGTTTATGCTGTTTGATTGTGGCCTCGAAGGTCGTAGTTGTACGCTGTAGCCCCGGTTGGCCCGTTTAGATCTTGCGTGCACAGTGGAAAGAAATGCGGCTAATAATTTCTGAATTCTGACTGGCATATAACGAACAAATCAAACAAACGTAAACGGGCAAAGGCGGGGCCCATGGGCTGCAGCCCACTCAAGCCCAATGGTAAATCCGGCCATGCGTATATAGCAAATATACTGTATGTTGTTAATTAAATCATATTTAGTATTTTAATATTACATTTTAAATATAACAATATTTGAATATTGTTCCCTTAAATAGCTTCACTGGCTACTTTTTGTAAGTAGTTTTTGTTGGTAAGTAGCTACTTTCCAAAAGCGTAGCTTCCCAGTAGATTAAGTTCTTCAAATGATGGTTGGCTTGTAGCTTGGAGAAGCAATGGTTTCAAAGAAGCTTCCCCAATGGTGGTACCGTGTATATATTTATGTCAGTAGCTAGCTAGTGCATAGCTAGGACCGCCGCTGAGGAGCAGGTGTCTGAGGCTTTAAATTAGCATTTCCTATTCATGCTAATGGCTGAACCCTGTTCCCCCTGTGAGGAGAATTGAGCGTGCTCTCTTCTCCAGAGCACAGTGCATGCTAATAAGAACACACTCCACAATCCCCGCTCTGTGTGTCTTGGCTAATCTTGTTTTATCACCTTTGTTAACATCTCCATGAACAACAGATTTAATCCAGGCAGATGCTCCAACTTAAATGTGGTTAATTATAATTTGATTTTGTGCATTAGATGGAAAGGCCCAGAGAGTCTAGAGCGATGCTGAGGGTTCTTTTGCCCACAACGCTGTGTGCTCTCATCTATACGTTGCCTATAACTCACCTTGAGCCTTGAAGTCTAGCATTACAGATTACTGTTGTATATACACAGCCTACATGCAACTACATCAGATTTGTACAAAAATATCATTTCGTACAGAAATTCATTTTTACAGGAGCCTCATATGAATGTTTTCGGTCAGCATGCAACTGTAGCATGGGGCCAGCTAGGCATTTACCTTTCGGTCACCAAAAAAGTTGGTGAGAAAGCCATGTACATTCTATGTTTTAAAATATGCATTTATAGATACATTGTAAAAAATGTAATTGTGATTTTAATGGTAAAAGACATGCTGTAAAAATATACAAAAACGTAATAGTTTAACTAAGTTTTGGTGAATAACTGTATTAGATCAAACTATTTAACTTTACATTAAAATACGGTTATATTTGCAGTTTTTGGAAATGAAGAACAACATCATTGTATAATTTACAGTGAAAAAACATAAACTGACATTCCCAGAATTTCCTGTGTGAGACTCCACATTTTATGTTTTTTTTTTTAAGGGTTATTTTTTTCCTATTTATGTACATTAGGGTTTTATGTTCATGTTTATTGTATTATTTTAGTGCCGTGTGTTACCGTGTGGTTTGATTATTTTTAATGTATTATTTAAATGACATGGTCAAAATAGGGCACTCAAACATAATGAATATGTGTCATGGTACCTAATATGGAAATCAAAACCAAGCAAAAACTCAAAACTTTCAAATCCTAAGAAAAAGACTCAATTTTGTGCACAGCCCACATTCCCCCAACCCACAAGTCCTGTTTGCATATTATACAATGGCTTTTGCTTGGACACCAATAAAACCAGGTAAACTGTGTGTTTCCAAGTAAAAGGAGGTTTAATGATCTATATCTCTATGAATCAAAACGTGAAACGTGGGCGTGAAAGATGAAAAGCACAGCCTTTGTGTCTTCACTGAACATCCTCAGAAACAATGTCAGAGAAACCACAGGCGAGTAAATGAATATTTCATTAAGGTCTATTGAAACAGAAGATCAAATGACCTTGTTTTAAATCATTCCCTGATAAAAAATAAAAGTGGATAGGGGGAGAGTGGAAGGGACACACTTGAAACTTCGACTTGTCGAATAAGCGTGAATAAATTACACAAACATGCAATATGCAAATAGCAAAATGCTGGCATATCATTGTTAATGAGAGTGTTTAACTTCCCTACTTGCTTTCATCTAGGTCTTCCTTTCTTTTATTGTCTGAGATTGTTCCTGTAACAAAAACAGACATGTCTGGCCTTTGCGGCGTATATCATTCATCGCCAGAACACAAGCTTAGCTTAGATGCCCGAAGCCACAAACATTTTAACCACTTCAATTCAACATCCAACAAAGTCTCCAGTTAAACAAGCTGACAGTTTACAGTGGACTGAAGAACAAATGTTAATTATGATAGCTGAGACCTTGAACAAAAATCATCTTGACATTTAAAGCTAAATTAATATATGATCAAATGTTTTGAATACATTATGAATATATATATATATATATATATATATGTGACCCTGCACCACAAAAGCAGTCTTAAGTCGCTGGGGTATATTTGTAGCAATAGCCAAAAATACATTGTATGGGTCAAAATTATAGATTTTTCTTTTATGCCAAAAATCATTAGGATATTAAGTAAAGATCATGT